TCAACTGTTTGTTTTTATTCTGAAAATAGTCAAACATTATTAAATGCATTCACGACGTTTTTCACCGATTTTTTTAGCAAAATCATCAATTTCTCAAGATAACCATCGTCAAAAGCGTAATAATCGAAATCAATAATCATCACAGTCACGATCAATGAATGCTCCATTTCCAGTCTAATGAATGCTCAACTATCCTTTAAAACAAAATAACACACATATTGAGCAATATCGCAGTGAACACATGGTATATTTAAATAGCAAAATAGCCAATTCTGCTGGATTTTCATAGGAATTCGTCAGATTTTCGCTCTAAAATTCGTTTTGGTTTGTTGGCAGGAGAGCATTGCGCTTGTATAATAAAAGAGTTCTAGTAGAGATTTCTTCTGGAGTACAATAACAAAATACAGGACAACATGTCGCGATGCCGAGAATGAAAGGATAATACATCCCTATTTATGTCAGCTGAATAAGTAAAATTTAGACGGTCCATCGAATCATCTGTCGCGAATGGATGCAGTCACATTCTACAATGTGTNAATAAGTAAAATTTAGACGGTCCATCGAATCATCTGTCGCGAATGGATGCAGTCACATTCTACAATGTGTCTGGTGAATCAGAAGGGTCATCTTCGAAGGATAGGAGTTATCGAAGTTCGGTGCATAGCACAACGTCATCAATGACCACGTCGAGTACAGTATCTAGCAACGATGAACAAGTGAGTATTCCATCATCAGTGACATCTCGTTGATCATTGTGTTCGCTTTTTCAGAGCTTGATGAGTGCTGAAGCAGCATGGGACCATGTTGCCATTTTACCAGACGAATTGCCATTCGCTGCCGGTGATATAATTAATGTTCTCGACTATTCATCTCATTCGGAGTTATGGTACGGCAGCTGCCGTGACAGAACTGGATGGTTCCCTTCATCTCACGTTCGGGTGAGTTAGTTCTGTTACTTTGAAGTATTATTCCTCACTTACAACGAAGGCATTCAGCAGCTTTCCGTGCATCAATTATTCAGCAAATGGGCACAAGAGCTAGCATGTTTCATCGTTAACATATTTCAACTGCGCTATGATCGTTTTGCAATATTTCATAGAGCATACATTTTATGGAGAGAGTATATTTTTGATCATGAATCCGGAAGTTGCAGATAATCAATCGAAATCCCGTGTCACAACCTTCTACTTCCGACGATTTTCCACCATCTATGCGGGCACTTCGCACGAAGATAGTTCAAGAGTTGATGTCGACTGAACGAGATTACGTGGATCTTCTTCAAAATCTTGTTCAAGTGAGAATATTAGAACACTTCCATCCTGACTTGTCGATGAAAATTCATAGTTATATTCGACCGAGCGATTTGGTTTCCACATTAAACTCAGTAGTGCATTATAAAACGCAAAGGTACTGAAGCAGCATTTGTCAATGAATATCTCTTTTTGCATTAAGTTGTCACGTTTATTTTGAATTGCTTCCTTTTGCGTATCCCCACATTGCTTTGGTCACGCAACTGCACTGATTCATTGAGTGCAATCATTCGATTTGCTTACTGAAAGCTGTGTTGTTGTATTGTTGCATGAATTAAGAATGGTCTTAAGGGATTTGTGGAACAAACTCGACGGCGGACAGAAATGTTCACATCATCAAATATTCAGCGGATATTCGGCAATCTCGAAGCAATCTACTCATTGCACTCAAAGTTTCTGAGAGAACTTGAACTAGCCTACAACCAGAAGGCACCTGAGAATTCGTGTGTAGGTACCACTTTCCTCAGAAATGTAAGTTTTTGATGTGTTCAATTCCATTTGCTTTCTTAATTTGTTTATTATCATTAAGACCAGTCAGTTATTGTTCATTAGTTTATTTATTTACTCATTTGCTCACAATAATAACGTATCACCTTTATATTTGCTCGATATTTTTGAACATATGTTTTAATGTTACCTCTCGATTTCTTACTATTTGAACGATTGCTTCTAATTTCTAAGATATTTGTTTGATTATCAGTGTTCAAAATTATTCCAGCGATCGAACTTCTCCATATACTCTGATTATTGTAACAACAGACCTGTTTCATGCGCTGAACTGGCCACTTTAGGTGATAAACCTCATTATCATCAATTTTTCGAGGTTAGCAATGTTGTATGACTTTCTTATCATTCGGTTATCCTTTATGTCTTAGAAGGTTTTACGGAGGAAAATTCGGAAGTTCATATTTGCTGTTATCGAACCTGACGCATTCATTTTTGGATCAATGAAATTAAAATCCCTCATCTTTTCTGAGAAATACAGGTGAGTGCAAGATAATTGAATAATCATCATTAGAGTCACTCATTTCCAGGCTTGTCGACTTCTCAGAGGGATGCCCAAGCTTACTTTAGAAGGATTTTTATTAACACCTGTGCAAAGGATATGCCGGTATCCGCTTCAGCTAACCGAATTACTCAAAGCCACACCATTGTCTCATCTCGACCGCGAACCCGTTCAGGTCATTTTACGATCTTGTTTATCAATTAACAAGTATGCTTATATCCAGTGTATAACTAACGACTAAAACACCTACGCAATCACCCCCATTCCCGCCCGCTATCAGTTTTATTAATTTCTGTCATGATCAAGATTGCAATCTTCATCACAATTCGCTTAAACATTTGACATTGATGTTGGTTACATTATTTTCCTTCATCAGTATGATCTTTAATCTCACAATTCGGTAGCGTATAGTTTTAAATTGTTGCTGTCCAGGGCATGTCCAAACCATTCGCGTGACCCGTTAAATTAAATCGGGTCTTTTTTCAGTCGGTTTCGGGTATTTAAAATTGATATAATTAAAGGCTGCTGCGGCTGCGATGAAAAGTGTAGCAGCATTGATTAATGAGAAGAAGAGGCGTTTGGAAAGTCTTCAAAAAATCGCTCTCTGGCAACGAAACGTTGAAGGATGGCAGGTAATTAATTAATTGCATTCATATCAGTGATTCATTAATCGAATGCTTCACAAAACCATCCAAAATCTGCGTTGAACACATTCGGCATCGCTCAATCAGCATAACTTTCATATTGCTCACAAAAAAGCAAATCAAAAAATGTGATATCTTTCAAACATGTAAACCTTGACCGATATTCTTATCTTGATGAAATCTTCTCACTTTGTTTTCCATTGTTTGTCAGTGTGCTTGAACAGCTTACGATATTAAAATATCCTCGTGGGATTAAGCATTAAATTGTTGAATATAATGTTGAAATAGTTGAATACTCTTAAAGGAGAACAGTTGTAGCATAACAATTTCATAGCAGTTGAACGTACTTTCATGTCATTACAAACCTTGAAACGATTCATGACCATATATTGATAATTGCACAAGCTCGTTCAGGGACCTGATCTTGTCGAAACGAACAGTCGAATGGAATGCAGTGGTGAAGTGTCGTGTCGATGTATTGCCGCTGGCTCTTTGCTATGGCATAAAGATGTATTATTGTTTTTGTTTGATCAATCGATTGTGATTTGTAAAAAGGATATTATCAAAAAGAATCATTATCTGTTTCGAGATCGAATCTCTCTTAACTCAGCCACGTTCATCGATTGCTTCGATGGTAAAGGTTCGTTCACCATTCACTCACTCTTCCCAGTGTCGTTCGTCTTTCAGTTTGCTCACTGCTTAATCCAATTAGTTTTCGAAGATTGTAAGTTCGAGATATCC